AAATTACCCTAAGGTATAGGGGAGAAAGAGAGAATATATAGTGAGTAGAAGTAGAGGGGAGGAGGTTTGCACAGCTCTATGTACAGTATCGAATGCACACAATGGGGGGGGGGATGCGGCAGTGGGGGGTGTCAGGCAGTGGTGTATCCTGATTTTGTTCTGCACTAGGCATGACAAAACTCAGGCACCCCTGCCCCGCCTTCTAAATACACATACACACACTCACTGACAAACACATATACACTCAGTGTCAAACACGCATTCACTGACAGACACACATAAACTAGCTAACAGACAGACACACATACACACTTACTAACAGACACACACACACTCACTAACAGACACACACACACAGACACACTCTCACTAACAGACACACACACACTCACTAACAAACACACACACACACACTCACATTTTTTAAATGTTTTTTTTTTTTAAATTCTGGGGTCCAGTGGGGCTGCTGGGCAGCCGACCGGTAACTGCAGTCGGCGAGGGAGCACTGATCCTCCTGTTCAGCTCCCTCGCGCGCCGCGTAGTGATGCCTGGGCCAGAGTGACGTCATATTCCTGCTCCGGCATCACTGCGGTGCCAGCTCATGGGCCCCCCAGGACAAGAGGTTGGCAAGGCATTTGCCTTGTCAGCCTCGCGGTAAATACACCTGATAATGTGTATATACATATCTTAGTTGTAGGGAACCTCGGGGTATGGTTGTTACCCTTCTTGCCTGCTAACTTTAAGCTCCCAGAGGACTGTTTTCCCACGGTTCCCAAACTGTTAGATATGCTTTAGTGGTTCCTCTCACCTTGGCCGTCAGGTCATCCATCAGGTGTATCTCTTTTATTCTGTTTATCACTCCTGCAATATTCGGGATCCCCTGCTTCAGCCAGGAGAATGCTACTGCCCTTTGTGTGGCCAGGGTTATTTTATGTAAGAGTTTTTGCTCGTTTCTGGCCCAGCCTTCTATGCATCTATTTAGCAGATACACCCAGGTGTCTAGGTCTGGGGCCCTAGAGAACACGAGTTAACAAATCCTTAACTAGCCCATTTTTAACTTTGTATTAACAAATAATGTTGTGTTAACCTTTGGATTTTAATGTATCATTAATGTAATCAATATTCCACCCAAAGGCATTTTATTAAAAGAAATCTAATTTAAATTAAAGAAAATCTGAACTATTTTTTTTATAGATTGTATCCACCCTGATTATTTCTAAGACAAGCAGCACATATAGATTGAATTGAAGTGGAATTCCTTATAACTGGGCAACTTTAGTTCCTGTGCATATATCCGCCCATTGTACAGCGCTACAGAATTTGCTGGCGCTATATAAATAATTAAATAATAATATATAGCTGGGTGGGCTTGCTGTACATCAGGTCACTATACATTGTCTATATTTTTCAAACAGCAACATAGTTTTGCTTAGCTGTAAATGAAAATTTGGAGTGTTTTATGCAAATTAAAATACAATGAAGGTTTTCTAAGAGTTAAGCATTTGGGAATGTGATAGACAAACTAATCAACCTGCAAATGTCCAACAGTTTAAAACTGAGAGAGTCCAGATATATACTGTACATCTAGATTCCGAAGACATGTTTATTAGCACATTAATATATCAACACACTAACACTTCTTATTGTGATGATATGGGAGGAATTCCATTGCCTGCATTATTTGATCAAAACGTCCTGTTGTTGTGACCATGTAGAAGGGTTTTCTTTAGTTTGTGAGTCAAGATTACTTATCTGTTTGTGCGACTTTCCTGTAACCACATTGCAAGATTTAGGCTGTGTTGAGCCAAAACAATGATTTTGAACTTTAATTTGCCAAATATGCTAATACAACATCATCTGCTGGGTATCCAGTCAAAGTTATATGCTGTATCCCCTGTTTAGTTGAATATTAAAGTCTGTTATTCATATCCCTTTAACGTCACCTAAATGCTGCATGACACATTGCTGCATTTTTTTTGTTATATATTTACACTGATTTTTGTGCGTATCCTCCTTCAGTTATTGTTTTTTTAAAAATCTTAAATGATTTTATTCTTATTTAAAAAAATAAATAAATTTAAAAAATTATAGTGGGGCGGCATTGAATAACAGCAGACACCTCACATATTTCACAGAAGCAAGCATCAAGTCATAGTGACTAGAGTGTGAGGGAATAGCTACCTAATTATTATTATTATTAATTTATTATTTATATAGCGCCATCAGCTTCTGTAGCGCTGTACAATGGGTGGACTAACAGACATGTAATTATAACCAGACAACTGGACGTACAGGAACAGAGGGGGTGGAGGGCCCTGCTCAATGAGTTTACATTCTAAAGGGAGTGGGGTATAGTGACACAAATGGTAAAAGTAGGGGTACAAAGTAAGTTGTTAGAAAAGTATTCACTGAGGGCTTAGTTGGTCATTTGAATCACTTGTTTTGATTAAACCCAAATAATTCTACCGCTGTATAAGAGAGCTGCGCATTGCTGATTACAGTCAATTACCTAAAAATAGCAGTAAGTGATCCCTAAACCTCAGTCCTTTCTACTTGTGTAATAAAGTAACCATGATGCTAAACTTCATCCCTTGTGCTGTCAGTGGACACAACACATTGCTACCAGTGTGTATGTATGTATGTATTCATTTTGTTGCACTGCAAAAGCTGAATGAAAAATGTGAATCTGCCAAAAAGTTCAAAGAATATAATACAGACATTATGAGGAATTAAATCACACAGACATCACAGCTCTGTTTCCTGACAGCTGGTAGCATGGCTTGTCATTTTCTGTGCAACTGTGTTTGTTCAAAAGCATTTCTGTTCTTGAAGCTGTTATTTTATTATTTAAAACATTGGACAGAAAGTATTGAGACATTTGAAACCTTTCTTCTTTCTGTCTGTAAGAGAGTCATCTGCAAAATGGAGGCAGTGACTGTGCCACCACAAGCCCTTGAATTGTCATTGTCTTCATCTCTCTGTTTCTTGCTCTCCTCTCTTTTTTCTCAATCCTTTCTCTTTTATTCATGTTCACTTTGTCTTGTTTGTTATTAAAGGACCACTATAGGCACCCAGACCATTTCAGCTTAATGAAGTGGTCTGGGTGCCTGGTCCATCTAGGGTTAACCCTTTTTTCTATAAACATAGCAGTTTCAGAGGAACTGCTATGTTTATATTAGGGTTAATCCAGCCTCTAGTGATTTTCACAGTGAGAAGACACTGCCGTCCATAGGAAAGCATTGTGAATGCTTTCCTATGGACTGGCTTAATGCGCCCGCGGCTCCTGCCGCGCATGCGCATTCAGCCGAAGAGGAGGAGGAGAGCTTCCCGCCCGGCGCTGGAGAAAGAGGTAAGTTTAACCCCTTCCTCTCCCCAGAGCCCGGCGGGAGGGGGTCCCTGAGGGTGGGGGCACCCTCAGGGCACTATAATGCCAGGAAAACGAGTATGTTTTCCTGGCACTATAGTGGTCGTTTAATGTTTTCAAATACAACATAAACAATATGTAAGCAGTGGATATAACAATTTCTTATATTTGTATACAATATGACCGCAAAAGTCAAGTATAATTAATGTTGCGGAATAGCGTGAGTACAAGATATAGTAATAATAAACAATCATAAATGGCGTCTGGTGACACCATATATATTATTACCATAACCAGCATTGTTTTACATGTCATCACTCAGTTCTTCAAGGATACAGTACTATCCCACTCTATTTACCCACGCTGAGATGGTCATTGATGATCATTTTGGATCGTGGATCATTTTAGAGATTTCCACTCATTTGTTAGCACCATCTTTGCAGCAGTAAGAAGGAAATACATTAGGGAATATTTATGTGTAGTATGGGATTCATCTGCGAGATGAAAGAATAGAATTGTTTGTGTCGGTGGGATATTAGCACCTGTGACTCAGTTCCCTTATCTCTTTCCAGTAGGGTTTAATATTGTCACATGCGCACCATATGTGCTTGAGATGGCCTATATCTTTCTTAAATCTCCAGCATAGAGAAGATTCCATTTGATTGATTCTGTGTATATCCATGGGGGTTTCTACCATCTCAATATCAGTTTGTAGTTAGATTCCTGAAGAGGTAAGATAGAGTGATAGGAATGCTCTTTGGAAGATCTTCAACCAGTCCTCATCTCTCAAAAGAGACTCAAGTTGTTTGTCCCATGCTTGAATGAAGTATGGTAACTTGTGAATCAGAGGGTGTACCATTTTATAGCATTTTGATAATGCTTTTGGAATGGGTTTGCTATGGGTGCATAGTAATTCAAATTTAGTCTCATTGCGTATGTGGCGAAACCAACCTCGCCACTGTGAACTGGAGAAGCCTGGTTGCTCGCCTGCTCCCTTTGGACTATGGCCCTGCAGGTTAAACTGTTTATTTCCCCCGCAGAAAGGCTTATTTGTGTGATCTGAGTGCCATTCATCTAATAATGTGCACTCAGATCCCAGCTATCTGAGGATATGTGAAATGTCTGTGTGTTATGTGTAAATGTGACTTTATGTATTTTAAAGTGTTTTGTGTCTTTTTGCAACCATGTGCTTAATGGAGTCTTGTGTCTATCCTGGGAGATAATTGAATTACTCTCCAGGATAGAAGACTCTGAAACTGGTTTGGGCCAGAAAGCCATGCTTCATTTAGTCACAAAGGACTTTTTACTAACTTTTGAACCCCTGGTCTGATTCGTGCCATTTTTTAATATGTTGTTCCCCTGAATGGATTGATTGTGAATATGTAATTTTATGTGAATGTGATGTATGGTTTTAGAGTTATGAAAGTTGGGTAGAAAGTATGTTTTAACTGTATGTGTAATTGAGTTTCCTCTCAGGATAAGGGGAGGGAATATGTGGGATGTAACTGATATGTGATTGGTTGTTTTGTAACGCCCTGTGGGCTGTACTATGTTTGTGGATTGGGAATAAAAGAGACTGTATGTGACAGTACAGAGAGTTCCTGTTTTAACCCTCAAAGTGAAGTGTCGTCTCATTATTGGGGGAAGGATTTATTGTATGCTGTTCCAGTTTGACTGCTAGGAGAGTAAACCTATTTGTATGGTTCCTATTCAACTGTCTACAGCATTCATATGCTTGAGAGCATTCATATGCTTCTCCGATTCGGTGGTTGTGGTGTCTGCCAGAGTGCTTGGAGTCCTCAGGAAGCGCTAGGAGCATCCTTCAACGGAGGTACCCAGTCGGGGTGCCAGGCAATCCGTTACATTGGTGGCAGCGGTGGGATGGCGTCCTAGTGCGAGGTAAAGCAGCTCAGAGACACAGTTCGTTTGGAGTTACAAATTGAGGGCAACGCTAGCACACGTGCAGCGCCCCTGGGAGCAGAGGTATCCAGCGACTTGGAGCAGACAAGTATGGAAGGCTCTGGCAATGATTGGATGGCCGAGGTGAGGCAGCGAGTGGCCCAGTATGGGGATGATTTACCCATGGAGGTACGCCGGGTGATCTGGAACCAGGTCACGGCCGAGCGAAACACAAGGCTGGCCCGAGAATTCCGGTTGGCGAAAGAGAGAGAGTATGCTCAGCGGAAGGAGTGTTACAGCAGCCGAGTAGAGGCTGCATCCGAGGAGGCTAGCCGTCTTCCCCTGAGGCGGCCGCAGGAACCTGAAGTAGGGGTCCTCATAGACTGGTCCTGTGAGGAACCACAACAGGCAGGTGGAGATGGGACCAGCCCAGATCCCCAGCAGCAGCCGGAGTTGCCAGGTGCGGAAGCAGGTGGTCCTTACTCGCAAATGTTGAGGGACCTCGCAGACTGGTCCTGGGAAGACCCACAGATGGCAGGTGGAGATGGGACGGCGGTCTCTCTACCAGCCCTACAGGGATGCTGGGCGGTCGGCCCAGATCTCCAGCGGCAGTATGTATCCCAGGGAGCTGAAGGTGCAGTCCTTCCTCCCCAGCGGCAGTGTGTACCCCAGGGAGCTGAAGGTGCAGTCCTTCCTCCCCAGCGGCAGTGTGTACCCCAGGGAGCTGAAGGTGCAATCCTTCCTCCCCAGCGGCAGTGTGTATCCCAGGGAGCTGAAGGTGCAATCCTTCCTCCCCAGCGGCAGTGTGTAACCCAGGGAGCTGAAGGTGCCGTCCTTCCTCCCCAGCTGCAGTGTGTACCCCAGGGAGCTGAAGGTGCCGTCCTTCCTCCCCAGCGGCAGTGTGCATCCCAGGAAGCTGAAGGTGCCGTCCTTCCTCCCCAGCGGCAGAGTGTCCTGCAGGGAGCAGAGACCGTCAGTCTCGCACCCCAACCACAGGACAAAATAATGAAAGGGGAGACAGCTGGTCCCCCTCTTCACCGGCAGAGAGAGTGTCAGGGAGAGGAGCCTGATACCCCCTCTCCCCAGCGGCAGTTTACAGTTCAGAGAGAGGAGCTTGTTACACCCTCTCTCCAGCGGCAGCCTAACCCAGCAAGGGGAGATGTTACACCCCCCAACAGTGCAGATGGGACTGTAGTCTCTGCACTTACAGCACAAGGGGTAGGGACAGTCGGTCCTGTTCCCCAGCCACAGAGCGGTGTATCCAGAGGGGAGACAGTCGGTCTCTCCCTCCCACAACCAGGCTCCCACCAGGCTACTTCCGTGGTAGCACTGGCATCAGGGCAGAGTACCGCTGGTCTCTGCCCACTCAGCAACCCACCAAGGCAGCCTAACAGTTGCCCACACAGTCGTGGTGAGGCACCTGGACATGGACAAAGTTCTCCTCTACCCAGGTGTAGTAACCAGTTATTGTGGGTGGGCTGTACTGCTGTTTCTGTTTTGTGGGTGGGTTGCTGGACTAACCAGGGCACTGACCGGCAGGAGGTCAGATACCCTGTTAGTCTAGTTGGTAAAGGGGAGAAGTGTGGCGAAACCAACCTCGCCACTGTGAACTGGAGAAGCCTGGTTGCTCGCCTGCTCCCTTTGGACTATGGCCCTGCAGGTTAAACTGTTTATTTCCCCTGCAGAAAGGCTTATTTGTGTGATCTGAGTGCCATTCATCTAATAATGTGCACTCAGATCCCAGCTATCTGGGGATATGTGAAATGTCTGTGTGTTATGTGTAAATGTGACTTTATGTATTTTAAAGTGTTTTGTGTCTTTTTGCAACCATGTGCTTAATGGAGTCTTGTGTCTGTCCTGGGAGATAATTGAATTACTTATCTCCAGGATAGAAGACTCTGAAACTGGTTTGGGCCAGAAAGCCATGCTTCATTTAGTCACAAAGGACTTTTTACTAACTTTTGAACCCCTTGTCTGATTTGTGCCATTTTTGAATATGTTGTTCCCCTGAATGGATTGATTGTGAATATGTAATTTTATGTGAATGTGATGTATGGTTTTAGAGTTATGAAAGTTGGGTAGAAAGTATGTTTTAACTGTATGTATAATTGAGTTTCCTCTCAGGATAAGGGGAGGGAATATGTGGGATGTAACTGTGATGTGATTGGTTGTTTTGTAACGCCCTGTGGGCTGTACTATGTTTGTGGATTGGGAATAAAAGAGGCTGTATGTGACAGTACAGAGAGTTCCTGTTTTAACCCTCAAAGTGAAGTGTCGTCTCATTATTGGGGGAAGGATTTATTGTATGCTGTTCCAGTTTGACTGCTAGGAGAGTAAACCTATTTGTATGGTTCCTATTCAGCTGTCTACAGCATTCATATGCTTGAGAGCATTCATATGCTTCTCCGATTCGGTGGTTGTGGTGTCTGCCAGAGTGCTTGGAGTCCTCAGGAAGCGCTAGGAGCATCCTTCAATGGAGGTACCCAGTCGGGGTGCCAGGCGATCCGTTACAGCGTATGCCTGAGACTGGGAGCTAAAGTATTTAACCTGAAAGGATTGGAACATTTGTATTTGTTGTGGTTAGGTTAGAGATGGGTTTCAGTGTAGAATTTGCCTTAATGCTCATTAAGGGTAGATAAGGTGATGTATAATTCAGGTTTCAGCACTTTTATTTAGGATATTCTGTTCTCTTTGTATTTTTAGGCATACTTTAGAATGCCATACTGCATAGATGGCGATGTCATCCATGAAATTGTTTCCCTTAATGAAATAGTAATAATGAAAGGACTCTAAAGTGTCTGGGGAATGCCCTGGATTGCCCAAGGTGTAGTGGTAGTTACACTCCAGAGTGCACCTGCTATCACATGTTTATGGAAATAATTACATTGTAGTTACTTACTGTGTAATAAGTTGTAGAATTTGTTTATTGGCGCATGTCCAGAAATCTCAATGTATTCACAGAGATGTCTTTTGGTTGTCAGATGAAATTTCAACTCTAGTTGTTTTAGGAAGCCTACATGTACATTATTGTTTCATAACAACTACCAGTTTGGGTTTGTAATTGTATTAATTGAAGCGTGTGCCTCCTTGCCTTTGGCGTGCTCAAATGATACACAAATGGGTTCTCATCCATAGATGCAGAGTCCATTGCATTACTGACTAGGAAGCCTAAATACTGCTCTTTACTCTTTATACAGTTCAGAGGAAAAAAATTAACTGTACAAATCCCCAGCAGCGGAAACTAATGGAACCATGAAGAATGTGAGTCCCCACACTTGGCTATGACAGTGTTTATTGCCTTAGTGCTGAGTCTGGGGGAGAAGTAACCTTCTGACCTAGACTGCGAAGTTAAAGTTATAATTCTGTGGGTTTTTTTTTTTTAATTCTTCATTTTTAGGGCATACATTTCATACAACAGTATCATTGTATTCAGCAACAATATCACAATAGCATGTAAAGTGCTATAACTGCTAAATAGAGCCCTTTTTAAAGTAATATAGGTGTAGGAGGACATTTATTGGCACATATGTGAAACATTCTCTGGTTTTTAAGTTCAGGTACTAAAAACAATTATTTTAAAAAGTTCACCTTTTTGGATATTGCAAATTATTGAATTTTTTATGTTCAAAATGAATTCCCCACTCCAGAACTTAGAATGTTAACACAGTTGGTTGGCACACAGGTAATGCCATTCATGGTAGTTAAATGAATCATGTTCGTTCACAATGCAATATACCTCCCTGTAATTAACCTCGATTTGTACTGCTTCATTTACATAATGTGCATAGAAAATGAAAAATATGAAAAAAAAATCTTTAACGTTTGAAATTGAAGCAGCTACATTGGGTTCTGTACAAACCGGAAAATTTGCTGACAAGCTTTTAGCCAGTCTTGGCATTGCCAGCCGGGACTGATAAATGGTATAGGACAAAAACAAGATGCGTCAAAATGTATCCGGGTCTGGTATACAGGGTGATGAGAATATTCGGGTGAGGATGTAGCCAGTTCAGGAATCAGGACAGAAAATAACAAGGCCAATAACTAAATCTAAATCGGGAACAAAGGTGCATGCTTACAGGTTCTGGAACCACGAAAGTGCACTGGACCGTAATAAAAGGAGTGTGTTGGTGTGTATGTGTGTATGTATATTTATTGGGCTCGGTCCTTGTATCAATTAAGCATTATTGATGCATACACAGAGTGTCCTGAATGATCCCAATTGATGATATATAGGCGCATAATTTCGTGGCTCATATATTTTAAGTACGACCTGGTACATATGCCTCATCCAAAATGGCTGCATCATTTTGTGATATGAGATTTCTCCTTAGCTTACATGTGATAGCACGAACATTTGGCCCAGAGGTCGATGGAATTGATGTGGCTGCATCATTTTTGGAGCGGTTGTTTCTTTTTGATGTGGATAGTTAGGAGCAGAGTCCCGGAATTGTGGCCAAACTGACACAGGAACTTGAATTAAGGTAGGTTTTCTTACATAGTCCATGCAAATGAAGCTGCATCTCAATTTAAGAGCACAAAATTACAGTTTATTAATTTTACAAGGCAACTTAAAATCAACTATCTTGGCAAACAAATATGGGCATTCAGTTCCACCATATGATTGTATTGTATTAAGCCCACCACTATGCTACAGTACCCCCCTATATTGGTGGATCCTATATTAATACTAATTTTAACATTGGAGACAAATTAAGCAGTGCTAGTGCTAAATTATCTAACGTGTATTTAATTAATCTGTTAAAAGCATTGTGAATATATAATCTAAAATGCAAGATTAATATGATTAAAAAAACAGAATTCAAAAACACTACTCAGCGTCAAAACTAATTTAAAGTGATAGTTCATTGATGTATATACTCACAATGCATATCGTATATATCACATACATTTTTTTATCAAATTGACATTGCTATCCAAAACTAAGGAGGTTTTGGGTAGTAATGT